AATGAGACTTATGAAGCCTACAAAACTGTAAGCAGATCATTTGTATTAATTCTATCAAGTACCATTGCCCAAATAAAAGTCTTGACATTAGAATTTGAGGGAGCAATAATCTTTTAAAGAAAGAGGCAGATAGAGAAACATTTTGAATTGGAAGACAGCGAATAAAAAAAATGGAATAACGGTTTACATATATAAGAAGCAGATAGATCCAAAGATCAAAGCCAACAGTCAAGCAAAGAAGAACAATGCAAAGAATCAAAGCTGTCTAATAATAAATCAAGTTCATCAGCTCCTCAATCATTAGGGTTCCTAAAAAACAGGGGAAGCTTTAAGAAATATGGAAACCTAAGGTATAAAAATGAGAAATAGGATCTCACAGCAAAATTGCAAGCCAGTACAGAAGCAGCAAAGATTAGAAATAGAAGGATTTTAAGATATAGTTCTTTCATGATTGCCTCAGCCTGCTTGTTATCCTTGGATGAAAAAAAAACTTAAATTGACAAAAAGTCAAATAAATAAGTCTAAAAAAAAAAGCATTCAATATTTGAAAAATAACAAATGTTATTAATAACTCCATAGATATTCATATATCCACAAATTGACTTAGAGGCCAGAAAAAATTCATGACGCCAATGTCATGCCTGACAGTCTGAGTGATTTATATACAGAACCCATACAATTTAAACAATAAAATATCCATAGTAATTAGCAATTATGCTTCTAGAACTCATTTTAAATGCAGATACTTACATTAGTATTCAAATCTTTTCCTTTCCGATTCCCTGGACGCAACATCTTGGCAATCTGTGAAGCTGCTGTCCTTGTCTTGTTCTTGCTTTTCCTGGTGCGCCTAAGATTTGAGTTGTAATACATGAATGGTCGGCCATACATGTTTGGCCTTGACTTGATCCTATCACTTGTGCGCACCTGCCCGGAAACAGGGCCATCTTGGCCAGACCGTTTTGGATACATGAAAGAATGCTAACTTTTGTAATTAAAAAAAAAAATATTATGTGATCAGCATATCTCAGTCAGCTACACCTGCAGAAATCAGCAGCATCTACAAAACTTAAAATTTTCACAAGATACAGATGTACAGAAAAATATCACAAGCTTAACCAAAAACACCAAGCCAAGGATATAATATATTTCACAGCAAGCTCATGCTTACCGGTATAAGAAACACAAATAGGAAAGTTGCTCTTGAATATATTCTTCTTAGCTAAAGCATATTGATGAATTAAGAATTGAACAGTTAAAGGACTTCAAGAAACAATCAAGGACTTCTTGACTAAACCTTTTGAAACTTATACTACTTAAAGAAACAATAACAACAACAACAAAAGCCTTTTCCTCCTTACAGGTGTAGAATTTTAAATATTTGTCCAACAAACATGACATATTCACGTTCTATGAAACTTTGAGAAACCGTAAGTATGTTCAAGATTATTTAGGTACTAAAACTAGATAATCATGAAATTAAAAAATTAATTTCATATTTTAATTTCATCAACACATAATGTTTGCCATTGTAAGGGGTGCAACAAAAACCAGGAACACCATACTCAAATTGATGTGCAACATTCAACATAGCTGCAAGTGACAGATTCTAACATCTAAGCCTCAAACTAACCTAGAATCAAACAGCACATTTATCAAAATAAAATAAAATAGAAAAAAAGCAAGGCTTCGTCAAAAGCGAATGAAGCAAACAATAAGGAACTCGAGAACCCAAAATCCATCGAAAAACACTACTAAGTCAAGTTCTGTTCAAAAGCACAGAGTGATGTGATGATTGGAAATAGAAAAAGACGAAAATAGGAGTCAAACAATGAGAAAAATCAAGAGGAAGGAATAGTAAACCTGATCGCGGGGAATGCATGATGCATGGCTAGGGTTTCATCGAAGTTTGGAGTGAGAGAGAGGAATAAAGAACGAAACGCAACACTGTGTGAGTTTCAGAGGCCAAAACCCTATCTGTTTTCTCTTCTCTCTTCTCTATTCTCCATTTCTCCTTCTCTTTCACGTTTAAGCTGCGAACCAAACGCCCAATATTTCTCTATTGAAGAACCCGGACCCGGACCCGGATTCAGATCCGTGACGCATGACCCGCCGGATAAATTTACTTTCGGATGAAAAGGTTGAGTCCATTGTTCGATCATATTGGGCCGTTTGGGAACCAAAAATAGAAACCCAACCCAAACATTTCATGGTGGGAATGAAAATTAGGGGAGGCAATATGGGTTGAGCCTGGCGGATCAATTCGCCAACCCGTCAAAATGGGGCAAGTTGGGTTGAGGTTTTCAACCCACCAACCACCACAACCCACCTCGCCTAGAAGTGGGTCAAAACGGGTTCAACCCGCCTCGCGGTTATAAATTTATTTTTTTATTTTTACAATTAGGTAGTATTTCATTAGTTCTTAAATTTTTGTGATATCCAAATTTTTTTTTATCTTAGTACTTCCTAGAAAAAATAAAGAATAACAATTTTATTTATGACAAATGTTATCTATATATAAATTTCTAAAGAATGTTTGACAAATATTAGTATACATTTAAGATTAAGACTAAAAAAATATAGAGAAGTATGAAATAAAATAAAATAATATTAGAAAAATTCATAAAATATATTTTATTTTTGAATTTTAATTAATTTTTTTTTAATTGGTGGGTTGGTGGGTTGACCCGCCAACCCACCATAAAACGGGGTGGGTTCATTTTTTTAATCCATATTTTTTGGCGGGTCAACCCGCCCCGCCCCGTTTTTGGCGGGTTGGTGGCGGGGCGGGTCACCCAAATTACCACCCCTAATGAAAATGGTGTCTTTCGTTTCTCTTTTTAAGACCAAATCAGTGCATTATTTGTACGATTGAGGAAAAAAAATCAAAAAATTTGTCAGCGACTGTCATTGATTAATCTCTAAAAGAAAGAACGTGTCAATATTTATATATATATATATATATATATATATATATATATTAGTGTACTACTCGTGCGATGCACGAGGGAAAAATGAAATTGGTTTATCTGTCTTGTAAAAATTAACGCAAATCGTAAAAGTATATCGTTGTATTTTATGCAATTAAGATAATGAATGGTCACTGACCATCCAACTCTTGCATCGTAAAAAGATGTAAGCCATTAATTATTTTACATATCATTTTAATATTTTCCCCTACTTTCTACACAAAAAATTGTTAAGCCTATTAATAGTATTTATTATTATGTCTATTGGTCACCAAATAATTTTATCTTGATTGATGATTATTATAAAAAAAAGGAAAAAAGCAAGGCTTCCTCAAAAGCGAATGAGGCAAACAATAGGGAACTTGTGAACCTAAAATCCATCGAAAACACTAATAAGTCAAGTTCCGCTCAAAAGCACGAGTGATGTGATGCAAGTGAAAAGGGGGTAAACATTTCTGGTGGGAATCAAAACGGTATCTTTCGTTTTTCTTTTTAAGACCAAATAACAATGAGAAATCATACGTGATCTATGGAGAATATGATGTCTACATATAATTCTAATCTTGGTAACATGGAAAAAGAAAAAAAAAGCCATTGTTCAAACATTCTCGTTTCTATGAAAAATAAATATTATTATATTAAGAGTGAAACAATGTAATGAATAATCACTGTTAAAAAATTGCAAACCTGATTTTTATAGGAAATTTAGGATCTGGATCCTCTAATGTGAAAAATCACATGACCATATAATGTGAAAAATCGTAACCATACAAAGGTAGATCAATGGTAATAAAAGAGGAGAGAGAAAATATATTAAAATAAGTAGTTACAAAATCATAACCGTTAATTTATCTTTGTATGGTTGTGATCTTCTTATATGACCATGTCATGTTTTTTTTCACATTAGAGGATCCATTTCTGAAAATTTATATTGTCCTAAAAAAAATGACTTTACAACTTCTGCAAGCAATAGAAGAAGTATTTTCCCCAAAAACAATTCCGTAGTATGGATTAATTGAGTAAGAGGTTTGCTTGTATTCGTATAATTTTTTGTCTTTAAAATTATTGAGATGTCCGTGAATTATTAGCATAAAAACAGAATAATTTGCCTACAATTTGCTTATTTAGAAGGGTTATTTTAGTGCCCATTTTTAGACAAAAAATTTAGCAAAATACCCACTTGTAAATTTTTTAAAAATAACACTCATATTAAAACGCAGAGGAATTCATTCTTCAGAAATAGAGATGAAAAAGTCTAATATATATATATATATATATATATATATATATATACAAAAAAAAGAGAGATGAAAAAGTGGATCAACCCTGTCTCCAACCCAATGAAAGTAAGTGACTCGTGTCATTCAAATGACTAAAACAATTATCATCGCACAGATTAGTAATGGATGTTGGTTTCTGAGGTTTTGGTAATATGCTAAAAAAGAGAGTCATACGTTCAAAAATTCTTGTGTTTATGAAAAATAAATAAATTCATAGTAAAAGTGATAATATATAGCGACTCATCACGGATAAAAAATTGCAAACCGAAATAAGAAAAGATACCATTAACTTTTCTTATATTAAAAAAAAAACATTAATATCTACTATGGATTAATTGAATAAGCGTTAAGCTTGTATGCATTTTTTTTTTGTATTTAAAGTTATTTATATGTCTATAAATTATTAGCATGAAAGCAAAATAATTGTTTCCCACAATTTGCTTATTTAGTAGTCTCAGTTTATTGTCCTTTTAAAATTAAGACAAAATTTTTGTTAAAATACAGACTTTTAAAATTTTCAGCTCAAATTTATAAGGATAACTATTATATTAAAGCGGTATAGGAATTCATTCATTATGAGGAGCTTCTAGCAGTGAACGGAGAGCATGGTGAATACATTTTTAACCACACAATAAATCCATTTACATATATTGACAAGAATTACGAAAAATTGCCGATAAAAATCCAACAAAGAAACATGGTCCTCCCCCCAACAAAAAGAAAAAGAAAAGTGAAAGATTTTGTTCCACATTTTACTCACTTTGGGCATGAAGGGTAGAAAGCATATAAAGAAACAACTAGTTTACCATTAACATAACGAATAAAAAAATGGCCAAGTGATTGGGGAAGAGACAACCAACAAAACAAAACAAAAACTAAAAAATAGGGGAGGTGGGGGTTTATTTCTATATAAATAGTTACACATATATTAGCAATCTAGTTCCATTAGCATCCAGCAGCTTTCAAGAATTTATCATAGGGGCTCGCAGGTGGTAGTCTCAATGAATGTTGCTGTCCAGAGTCATATGAACAGAGGCGAACTTGATACAGCGCATGATATTGCTCCTGAGTCACTAACTTCAGATCAACTTTTGAATAGTCCAGTGTCTACAAAATTGCACAGTAGCAACAAATAATAATCCTTTCAATATTAACAAACAACTAAACATGATGCCTGATCTTTGGACTTGATTGTAATGCATAATGCAAAGGTTTTGGGTTCAAACCGAGTGTGACAACTGGCCTCCTCTCAGTAAAATGTAGCAATTAACAAGTAAATGAACTCTATGCCTACAATATATCTTCATACGCTCTTCAAATACATCATTTAAACTAGTGAGCGATTATTTTTTAATAATGAAACTGGTTACTAAGATTCAAAAGATACTGAGAGATAAAGAATATCATACCAGAGATTATTAATAAAACAGAGAGTTTGATCACTGGCTGTGAATCCTGAGCAGATAGGCTACTCTGGTAATGGTATACAAGCAGAAATTTTCTACACTATATAATGATAAATGAGTATACACTGCCTTTAGGTCTGTGGATGACTTTCATCTTTTCATTTTTTGTTTTTTCATAATGATTATTTGATTGACATTTAATTCCCAAGCTGCCTATACACTTAACCAGGACAGTCAATACTCCACAGTCCAAACAATAAATTGACCAGTATAACCAGCTGAATGGTCAAATAGATCGTTAAGAAAAAAAAATTATTCTTTCACGACATATTTTTCTTTTGCCAAAAAATTAAAATTTCATGGTAAAATAAATACGAACCTTAATTGGTGGACGGGGTACTTTTATTTCATTTCCACTTGAAAGAACTATTGCCCTAGTCTCCTGCTGATGCTTGAAACTGTGAAGAATTGACATCTTCTGTTGTTTCCCTGTTACAAGTGCCTCACACTGGTTCTTCATTTGGTCATAAGGAACTGGAGTTGAGGAAATGGGGAAACTTGCCACTTGCTGTGCGGTTTCCAAAACCTATCCATACAATAATCCCCATAGTATCTTTAACAGAAGAAACATAGTGGCCACTCTCCAGCATAAGCATAAAAAATTGATTCAAAATTACAATCACATAGCCAATCAGCTAGAATTAAAAATGAAAGCATATCGCAATTTACCGATTCTAAGAGTTGATTAACACTTAGAATGTCCAGGTTATTGATAGATAGTGATGATTTGCGATCTGACTGACTTCCACTTCGTTCAGTCCGGGTCTCTTCATCCAACAAAGATACTGGAGTCATAATCTGGATACAACCCATCACACAACTGGTAAGACAGAAAAGTTCTCAAGAGCCATTTAAATGGAGATGCAATTCTGAGGAATTTAAAATTTTACCTCGTTAAAATCTGGGAACTCAATCTGTGCAAGTGGAGAACATGGCCTTGGTGTCTCCATAAACAGTGGAGGTCCCAAGGGATATGCATCATCAAGGGAAAACCCCTGTACAAGTTGTTTCTTTATTCTCGACAACTCATCCTGGTTAAAAAAGAAAAAGTCAATATTTACACTTACCCGCTACTTACATGTTCCTTTGCAAGCAACTCCACCGCAACTTTTCTATAACATTCCAGATTCTGCACACACCTAATATAATATTTGCAAGTATCTTTTTCCATAAGAAAAAGATTGGCTGACAGATAGTTTCCAGAGCAAATATGTGCATGTGCCACTGGAACACATACAGGGTACAAATTCAAATTTAGAAACTTGAACTAAAAGTAGCCTATTAGATGTTCAAATAAAATTATAACTAAACAGTATATCACATTATTCTTTGTCAGACCAAGTAAAGCCGATGCATAAGCTTTTCAATCTGGGATAATTTGGTAAAGCAAAAGCATTAGCCCTTCATAATTTATGGTAAAACACTGATCGCTTATATAACTAGCCCATTCTTTGGTAAAGAAGAGGCCCTTCATAATTTCTGGTAAGAGGCAGAAACCTAGTTGTTATTCTATCCTTGAACTAAAACTAGGGTGATATTGACATCTCCACTTCCAAAGAGGTAACTCAAGTGCTCAACCATCTTATACTCAGTTGAGCATAACATTCACCATTTAACCAACTTCAATGTAATTTTTGAGTGGTTAATGTGCTTAATCAATGGAAAAACTGGAAAACAGTAGTGCCTACTTTATAGGATTCCCACCTAACCCTGGGTATGTCCCTATCTTAAATCCAAGCAAAAGGGAAATAAATTCATATTACCTCTGATAATTTTGAAAATTTAGTCAGGAAGTATGATATTACAATCTCTTTCAACTGCTTGTCATCTAATTCTACTGCTGAAAGTGACTTCATAGCAGCAACATCATCTTCCTGAGATCCATAAATAATCTTCTCTGATTTTGAATAAACAGTCTGCATCCTGACATCGTCAGCCAATTCAAGAAAAGGATCTACCTGTGGATTTATGACTTTAATTAATTTTCCTATTCATTTTTAAAAAACCAAACAGATAACATTCGTTTTGAAAAGGAAACTGAAGAACAAGTACATGGAATGGGGATCAATATAAGAGGTTAGGGGAAGAAACTAACAGTTATCTCTGTCAGGGATGCTTTGACTTTTGGAATTAGCTCAGGGAAGTTGCCTGCCCTGGCAGAGAATATAAGCATGTATGATGCCAAGGTAAAAAGCGACCTCCTGCGAGATGGTTGTAAACCTCCTTTGACAGGTGTGTAGAGAATGAACATGTCAGAAAATTTCCAACAGAAAAATATTTATCTCAATAAAGAAATTTCAGTCATAATAAAACCTTTATAGCATGCACAGACAAACACAATATAAAATTTAGAATACGAAGCCAGGGAATTGTGTAAATCAAGTATGTGAATTTGTACTTGCTTCCTAAAGTAACACAAAGTCAAAAAAATATATTCCAAAAGGCTACAAACTATGCAGCTTGGAATTGTGGAAAGGCGATAATACTTAGAACCACACATTCTACAATAGTTTTTTTATTAGAACAAATAATCTACAGTATTACTTGCAAACTAAGAGGATAAAATTCAAATAAATTATAAAATGAGGTGTACAATAATTTGCAATTGCTAAGGAATATGAAGAGGTGCTTATGAGGTTCCTAAGCTCCAGAAAATCAAATAGCAGTGGTTTGCGGCTTACTCATAAAAAAATTAAACCTTATAACAGGGGATTTATATAGTTCCAAATCAAGTTGACGTAGAAAAGAACTGGACAAAGGGAGAAAACACGTCAGGATGACAAGATAAAAAATCACTTATATGTTCAACTTACCTTGTGGGTCCAAAGAGATGCTCATGAGGGAGAATGCCAGTTGGAAACATCTTACTAAAGCCATGTAACTGGATGTCTGTGGCAAGCAATTTATATCATCATGAACTTGGACAAATTAATGATGTAAGATTATTTGGTTTTAAAAGCTATCTGGATAAATAAAAGAAATTGTGAAAATATGTTTACTTTTTTTTCCATTTCTGGAAAGATTAAAACAATCGAAATGCCGGCCATACCGGTGACAGTTTCACACCAAATTGAAATACTCATTAAATAGCAGTTCTCATACAAGAATATCCTAGTCGTATGCAACCCTGATAAAATTTACAGACGAATAATACAGACATAATACTTGGAATTAATCCCATAAAAGTGTCGTAATTGCACTCATAAGAATCGGAACTGGACTGCTTTACAGTAAATCATGTAAGAGTAAAGATAATAGTACAAGTGACCACAGTAATAGTCAACTGGTAATTAAAAATGTAAACTATTATAAATAATTAACAATAATAGAAAAGTAACAAAACATTGTTTATTGTCTTTTCTGATTATAAATCTTAAAAATCCATGGCATTTGCATTGTACCAATCTCACCTTAGAACGAGTGAACAATAATGCAATGCTATAAGTGTGAGCCATTGCCTCAAAATTTGCAGGGCCACTTTCCACAGATGTTGCCTGAACCCAAATTGAAGAAAGCAATAGACTCACTTGGTGACTGCTTAACCGAAAACAACTTAGCTCCTGCAAAATTAAGAGTTAAGACATGCAATATTTGATTAGCAATACAGCAAAAAGAAAAATATCTATGTTCCCACTATCGGAAAAAAGAAAAAAGAAAATCCAAACTAACTGAACCACTTCCTAACATTAGTAATATAATTGAAATCAATAAAAATTGTATAAAAAATAATCATGATGAATAGGCACAGCAAGCTGCATCCCCAAACCCCCACCCCCCAAAAAAATAAAAAAATAAAAGAAAAAGAAACATATTGAGTTACATGTCTATTTCCACAATTAATAATGATAGGTAAAATAAATATTCTGGACTAAAAAGGATATGTAAATAATTCCATACATCTTTTCCATCGGTTAGAACTCCAAAAAATCTGTAACCATGATATAGATGAAATGCATATTTCCCACTTACACCAACTTCTGCCTTTCCTTCCACAGGTTTCCAATTGAGGTGTTCTACTCCTATAAAGCTTTCACGCCGAAGGTAGAAGCTTTCGCTTGGTACCTTCGGAGCCATCTTAATTTTCTGGTCTAACTGCGGAGTAAATAGAGATGGCATAAGCACTATGGAGAAGACACTATGTGCCCCAATTCGTGTCTCATGGTCAGGATGGGCCATTGCCAGGAGCAATTGATGAAACAAAGCATCAGGGAAAGCCTGCAAAGGACAGAAAATTACACAAAAGTTTATATAGTTTTACTACAGCTAAGCATAAAGAAAAGTCCATATCTAGTCAAAGTAAGAACACTTGCCTTCTTGTCATATGATACATTAGGGATGGACGTGATTAATTTTGCAGTTTGATAAACAGCAGAGATTGTTGTTCTTGCTATGATGGTTGTAGTCGAGATGTTTTCTAACACCGTAGCCATCAAATCAAGAATGGGCCCTACATCCCCAACCTGTCATTCTCAATATGTTATAGTAGAGACAGCATAAAGTTTGAAAGACAAACGAAGTGTTATGCGTACCTTGCTTGAAAGTTGTAATATACACATTTCTAAGGCAGATTGAAGCTCAGTATTCAACTTATACCCATCATTTCCAGTGCTGGAAGCTTCAGCTGAATTTTGCAGGCACTTCCTTAAATGTTTAATGAGGTCAGATATTGCACCAATTATTGCAACTGAAGCCTGTTGCTTCACATTTTGGGCAAGTTGTGTTGTGGTGTTAATAATATTATTCTGAAGGATAGGTCGCTTGGCAACATTCTTATGATCCAAGTGCTTGACCAAAATGGACAACAGAAGATGGGAGTTGTCTCCTGGTGTGCAAAAAGAGACAATCAATACACTGAAATAGGAGAAAACGTCATTTTTTCCAAGGAAAATTATGTCACCGTCTCACTGAATGTTGCAGGGCTACCTGATTCTGCTAAAAGAGATTGTAAATACATCAAAACACGAGCAGCAACTCCTTTTTCAGAAGACCATTGATTTTCAGAATCAAAATTATGAAAAAGAGGCTCAAGGACACGCCGCAGAGTTGTAGCTTCCCTTGCCAATTTGACCATATTATACAAGCAAACCTTTGACCAATATGTAGGATCTCTAGCAGTATCCCTGTAAAGTTGTAAACACATAAGGGCTATTTGGGATCATAACTTTTGGCTTCTTAACAAAGGGTGGGGGAGAAGAGTAAGAAAAGACATACAACATAGGGTTCATCTCAGTTCCTGCCACGACTTTAAGCAACAAAGGATCCTTCTTAGTGATGCCTGGTAAAGAACAATCCTCTTCTTTAGGAAATCCCTGTACCAACTGGTCCAGGGACTCTGAATTTAGTTTATCTTCCTTGGTCTGGTTGGAGTTAGATTGGAGACTTGTGTAATTTTCCAAAGTCACTGTTATAATCTATTTCAGAGTCCACCCACCGAAACAAGAAACAAGAAAGGAAATAATTAAATTGACAAACAACTGTATTGTTACAAGTGCAAGCTATACCCAAGTTTTGATTCAAAGTTTTGGGGAAAAATACATAACAAACCAAACATCAATATAAATGCAACCCTTTCTTTTATATCACATCTTGAATCATTGAATAATAACTAAAAGAGTAAAAGTATGGAAATAATACTCACTTCATCCAAATCCATGGAAAGATGTGAGTGCTCACCCATGAAACGCACCTAGCCACAGAAAACATAGGGGGAAAGAGGAAAAGGTATCAACAAGAGAAGGGACAAGTGACCTTAAAGGCAATTGACAAAAGGTTACCGCGGTAGGCATAAGGTAACCACTAACCATTTCATATTATTTAAATGTCTCACTCTTACAATCATTTGCAAAAATCAAAGCGTATAGCCTTATACATCTTAAATTATTATAAACTAACATTTACATGATCAGTAATCACTAAAACTGCTAAGTTCTATAAGTTTATTCCTGCCCTCGAATTTACATTCGACTCCTCTGCAAAGAGCAGTTTCTAATCCTAATTATATCAAATTACAGGAATGTATAAGCAGTTTCTAGAAGAAGTAACAAATGAACAACAGAAAGGAGCAGTACCATATAGGATAGAGCTTCTAGTCCAGCTGAACGTAGACGCAGAGCTCGTTCATCTTCCCCCACTTCTTGAGCCAATTGACATAGTTTAGGAATAAAACCCTCTAAGTTGAACATGTATGTACCATCTGTCTATTTTTAACTTAAAAAAGTCAGGAACACAAAAACTCATTCCATTCAAAAAAATGCCGAAAAAAAATTACAGGGCTACAAATGCAATATATAGCAAGTAGCAAGAGTTATAATGCAGTTAGCGCCAATAAGTCACCCCCACATGGAGAACTGTGGTTTTTGAGCTCAACAGGAATCTTACAACTTCCACCCAAGCTTAAGCTGTTAGGTGAAAATACGTGAATGATTTTATATTTATTGCTAATATGTCCTCTTACACAAATTTGGACTTGAAGTGTGGCTGATACACAAGCCCACCTACTTTGCTGAAATTCAACTTTTTACTAGAATAGTAGAGGTGGCAAGGATCAAACTCTAAACTATTTAGTCATAAAGGCTCTAATACTGTGTCATAAACCAACTATCATAAAAGTTTAAACTATTAGGTGAAGACACATGAATAGTTTTATATTACATCTCTAACAAAGTCAAAGAATTTTCTTCAAAGGGGTGGCAGATCTCTTACTGCGCAACATCCACATAAGCTAACCCCACAATGTGGTAACTCCAACAAGTCAGAAACGTTTAATAACCAAATACCTGGCAATCTATAAAATCAAAAAGAGTGTTGCAGCCTATGATCCTGATTTCATCCGTTCGAGTTTGTTCTAGAAGAGTCCGGACGATCTTTAATAAACTACCGGCAAAAAGTGGCCTACAAGAATAAGAATTATTATTTGAATATCATCACATATTTGAAATAGAAAGAAGTGGCAATCCAACAATAGAAATCAAAGGAGGAACAACTTTATTGTATAAGAACAAATATTGACAGAGTCTTATGTTGCCTCAAAATATAAAATCCCCAATATTATATGAAATAAAAAGTTTAAAATAACATCATATTTTATGCCTTTTTCAATTTTGTACTCTTTAAAATGTGTTAAACACAACTTTTAGGATATTCAGCACACTGTGCAGATGATTGTAAATAATAACATGAAAGGAAATTGTAGCAAACACATTCATTCATTAGATGTATTCAGTGACTTAAGATGCATGTAGAAGCTAAAAGGAAAAGGGTTTCCCTTGGATTATATATCAGGAGCATAGAAGCAATGACTGGAAACTTTCTAAATGAAATTTTATGTATGCAAAACCTACTTTAAAGTGTTCAGTTTTCTTCTGGCAAACTAAGACTACTCATCAGAAATGAATTCATCAGAATGATGACAATTTATATATATATGTCATTAAACTTACATCTGCTCCTTACATGACGATAAGAATTTCCTGTATATGCACAAGACAACTTTCACTGAACCAAAGACTTCATTTCGAAGATCCTTGTAACATATTTGCTCTAAGTAATCAGTAATCTGCAAAAAAAAAAAAAAAAAAAAACTTAGATGGAAGCCAATGTGATTTTCTCCTCCAACAAAGATATATTCATACTTGGATAACAATCTAAGAAGTAGTTTCACCATATTAATAAAATCAAATAGTATATTAAGAGAAACATTATCCAAATTCTCTCCATCATGTCATAATCTGTCTTGATTACATGACGCAATTGAACCAGAAGTGACAGAAAATAAAAGACTTCCAAGAATAATATTACCTTGGGAATTCTCAAAGGATTCTTAGAAGCATAATCACATAGCTTTCCAATTTTTCTATCATTAGGTTCAGCCTCCTGCCAAACACAGTAACCATCATGAACATCAGATGATGGGAAGAGCAGGGGAGAGACAAATGGTGGAGAGGGGCTCCAAAGCATTCAAAATATATATTAAATCATGATAATATTCACTAGAATAAGAAATCTTATCATAAAGAACCCTCCGGTAGGGGTCTTTGCAAACCATAAATTCTTACTATTCTTTACACAATAATGCACTGGTCACTAAGAGTGGCAATGATGTACCAACATATATCATTACTAATAAGAGTCCCCCAAAAAAAAAAAAAAACGCTAAAGGAAATGGTAAATTAAATGCAAAACCTAGATTCAAAATTACATCATGAAGTCACCGACAGCAGAGAAGCATTTTTCAAACAATAAAGCACCAGTCTCCAGAAAACTTAAAAACCGTCCCATTGCATATATTCCCAAATAATTGCTAAATCAACATAAAATTTGTGCTACGGTATCCATCCTTTTTTTCTTGAATACCAGTACCTGGACGAGTTGTCAAGCATATATTAGTTGAATCAGTTGTTGATTTTCACAATATATGTTCGGAATCCACCAGATATAACCAGCAACCAATTAATATTTAACAACGTATCATGATAATGCTATGCAAGGTGGGGGGAAAATGGGTAACCATTAAATCATAGCAAGTTAGTAACTCACATAAGTAACAAACAACAAGCAAAGCTTTTATACCTGAAATCAAATAATCATAACATGAGCTGAAAATGTCACCTGATTACGTGGGAAAATATCAGCTAGCAAATTCTTGTAACGTTTCACCGGTTGTCTTGAGCTTGCCCGCATAGCAGGACAAATGCAACAGAGGTTGCCACAAACAGGCACAACCCTCCTCGACATAACCCCCATTTGTTCTATGCTATGGAATCACAGACCCTCCCCTTTCAAGAATCTCCTCACAAAACAATTCACTTCGAAAACTGCATCCACAATTCACATTCCATTGATAACAAACTTAAATAAATTCACATCAGTTTACTGAAAATCCTTGTTCATCACCATTACTTTTACAACTCTCAACTAAGATCAAAATTAAAACTCAGTCATATTCTGAGATAAATGAATTTCTGCCAAAATAGAAAGAAAAAAAAATAAAAAATAAAAATTCAGTCTCAGGATTTTAGAATTATAACTACATTAACTTACCCAAAGTTCAAGCAAAGAATTCTACTTCATTGCAAGATCAAGTGTCTCCGATCGCGATCTGGACTGAACTCTGAAACAAAATTTCTGAAATTAAGGTTTGGAAAGACAACGGAAAATTGTGCAATTAAATTCAAAGAAATTAAACGAGGGAAAATTTAATAAAATTAAATAAAAAATAGTAACTAAGAATAATGGCAATGGGGTCAGTGTGTTGTTTTCGGTTGGGCATTAATGACATTGGAAATAACGTTTTCGTTCCAGCGGCAACGTGTTCTTTGTTGTTACTATTAAAGCATGAAATGAAATTATAATAGCAACTTGCTAATACAGACAGAAAAACGAAAAGTGTTATTATTTCAAGGAAACGATATTCTACTTATTATATTATTATTAGTTTTTTATCTTTGTCTACTGTTCTAAAATATCATTAGATTAGAATCTTAATTAACATTTATTTTTCTCTCTTCTTCGAATTCTTATCTAATGATGTTGGAGAATGATAGATAAAAAAAATAATAGGTAGAATAACATATCCCATTATTTTATTAAGAAAAAATATGATGCTATCGTCACCGTTGGTGCGATTAGGAAGTTGATTGCACGATGACTCATTTGCGCCTCATGATTGTTTACGCGCAAATGATTCTTGCCCGCATCGAACGTGGACGATTAACCTATATAACATGAAAATGGATCCAAAATGATGCGGAAAAAGATAAATTAACACTGATGAAGGAGCGTAAAAAGGTTGGGTTGTACTAAACTTTGACTTAAATAAATTAAATTTATGTAAAAAAATTTAAATTTAGCCTAATTTATTAGTTTGTATAGAATTAAATTATAAGCTTGGACTAACTTATATTTAAAAAATAAAAAATTTAGCCTAAATCTTTAATCTGTTTAAGTATTTAGATATTTAATAGTTAAAATAATATTATTTTATTATTTAAAATTATTAAAATAATAATTTTATTTATTTTATTTAAAATAAATAATATGATATAGAGTAGCATGTAAACTTATAGGCTTGGTATGTAAAAGAAAGCCCACTACATATTTTTTAAATAGAATTTATAAAATATCTAAGAATGTTCTATTTAACTATATGTAAATTTTATTAAATCGTATGTCTCATTTACACCCTTATTGATGATTTTATAATTATTTGTTTTAATTTTTTTATCTCTTTTTTTATTACTATTATTAAGATTCCTTGCATGATCATGTCATAATTTTTTAATACGAGAGATTTCAATCCTATAAAAAATACATATAAACAAATATTTTATAATTTTAATAATCCAATTAATGGTGTATACTTATTTGTTATATATTATCATCCATATAATAATTACCCCACCGAAAGGGTTCAACGGTCCGAAATTTGATTGAATTATGAAAAGGAAAGTTCTCTTTCCTGTCTCTTTTTGACTTCCTGTTACCCTACGGCCTATAAAGTATATAAATCATACATATGCTGCCTGTGTTATTTTATATTTATGAATTTGATATGTGAAATTTGATTTGATATAAAGTATATAAAGTTGTGTTATCAAATATATATGTGTTAAATGTTTATGATAAGTTTATTTTTATATACATACAAAGGTACGTGATATTCATATAAATTTATATGAGGTGTAAAAGTATATATATATATATATATATACTATATATATATATATATATATATATATATATATATATAACTTGTTAGCTAGTTAGGTTTTGTAGAAGTTAATGAATTTTATATATGTTATATGTGAAATTTGATTTGATACATAACCTTGTTACTTAAGACGGCAAATAGTTCATGGAAAGGAACAAAAATCGACAAACCAACAAAGAAATGTATCCTTAAGCAGGTTGAAAGATAATTATGGCTGTAGCTCCATCACTAATTCGTCGTTTTCTAAGCATTTACTTGACTTGTTTGATCTTCCTCGTTTTGTTACTGTTTTTAATTTTGTTTTTAAATTTAATTGTTAAAGAAATTACAACCAAGGGTTATTTCATTAATTAAATAAACATATACTATGGCATATGATAAGGTCGTTCGGTAATCCACCAGCTAAAGTGATTCATGATGCCACGCGGTATGATTTTTTTAATATACTATTCTTTTCACTTTTACTTCCATTAAATGACGAATCGTGCTAAAATCACTTGAAAAGTGATGCAGATTGAAGGCATTGATTGAGTTTGACCAAGTTACGCATACATACCAAAACAATGTAACATATTTTTTTGTACAAGAAAGTTTAAGTGACATTAGATACCACTATTTCACTCAATGGGTGCAGCTTAATTGGTAACTTGGCACTGAGTTAGTGGGGTTGGACGTGTGTTCGATTCCTGCTGAATGCATTCTTGGGGAGGGGGCTGAACCTTTAGCCATCACTGATCCTCCGCACTCCGGATTAGTCCCATAGCCGGCTCAAAGAATCGAAGCTCGTGGGGATACCGGAGGGAGCCAACTCGCCTCAAAGAGGTAATTAGGGTTGGGTAACTCCAAAAAAAAAAAAAAATACCAGTATTTCACTAAAGTGAGAGAAGACCTTCCAATCTCTTTGAAAATTTTTGTGAAGGATTATATACCACTCACCAACAAAGTCCTCACATCAGCCAGAAGGGTTTGAACCCGCGCCCTTGAGGGGTATGAACCAAACCCTTAGCCAACTGTGTCCACCTTTGTTGGCCAATATAACATATTTTCATATATATCTCACATCAGCGAGAGGGGTTTGAACCCACGCCCTTGAGGGGTATGAACCAAACCCTTAGCCAACTGTGTCCACCTTTGTTGGCCAATATAACATATTTTCTTATATATATATATATATATATATATATATATATATATATATATATATATATAGGAATCTTTTGACATCAGTGTCAAATTTAAAGTTTGACACCTCGTCTGAAAGTCGTTAGATCAAAAAAGATCAACGACTCTGATTTGTAAGCATGTGATACCATTGATTTTTTTTATCTAACAACTCTCAGATGAAGTGTCAAACTTCAAATTTGACACCGATATCAAAGAATCATATATATATATATATATACACACACACACGAAGGGTTTAATATTTTTTATATTGTAAATGATAAATTTATTTTTTGTACATGGATAAAAGTAAATAGAGTTCATATTTTCTCTTTATCTCCACTCTCTTCGTATGGGTTCCACATACTTTTATATGTGTATAAAAGATAAATTTATTTCTTATAATATAATAAATATTAAACTCATATATGAATTCAGCTTTCGGCCAAGCACAAGAAATAAAAAAATTAAAGACGTTTTTATGTAAGAGAAATTATGGATGCAAGGTCTTTATAATATTTTGCTAGAAAATAATATAAATCATTAAAAAGACTTTACCCAACAACTTAATCTTTTTGGTTAAATTGAATTTTTATATGATATTAAAATTTCAATGAACATTAGGTCACGAATTCGATCTTCACCGTTCTCCACCTTATAGTGGAACTAAGTAAAACACCTAATAACTTAAAAAAAATTCCCACCCAATAACTTACGGTTTTAAATTGAATTAATTCGTAGGGAACAATGTTTTAAAGAAATATGGTTGGTTTGGTTCATGAAACTGACGATACAAGTAAAACATGTGAGAAGGAAGGTTCCTTAGTAATTAGGGCGAAGGGTGGTCGGGCATTTTGAGGCATCGAGTAACAAAGTTGACAATGATAGTACCCGATGAGAAGATGGCTGTGTGGTTGGCAAAGAAGGAGATATGACCAAGAAGGAAGATGGTTTGGTAGTTTAAAAGATGGGAGATGTGTGTTTATTAATTAGATGATTCGGATGGTTGATAAAATGGTGACAAATGCATCCTTTCGAGTTTCATCTTGTTATACAAAAATACAGAATAAAATTCCTACTTATATTAAATAGGGACCTTAAAATAAGAAACTATTCTCCCTAATTTGCGTATCTTGTATATATAATTAGTATTAATTTTAAGCGATACCAACAAGGGTTAAATGATATCAATATAAATAAATGCCTAATATAATCTCTTTCTAAATCTAATAAAAGATAAAAGATTGCACTGAAGGTAGACGTACACTTGCTAATGAAGACGCACAAACTTCAAATCTAATAGTGAAGGTTTTTTACAAAAATATATGATAAAGGATGGCTGTGACAGATATGGTAAAAAATAGATCAAAAAATTCAATATTGTGCTACGACATGTTTGAAAATAATTTTCGTTGGGCAATGGACAGAATGAGTTAAGGGTTTATTGTGAGAGATAAGAAGTATTGATCACAAAGATGATATTATTACAATAGTGATCCATATTTTAAGAAACTTTGACAACGAAATAATGATAAAACAAGTCACAAAGGATGATTCATTTCTTATACCATGTAAAGCAAGTAGCAAATAATTCAATCTTAAACAAGGTGAAAGCCACATTAATTGTTTCGAATTATATTTCCGTAACATGTCCCCTCACATGATGGTTCATTGCACTGAAAGGTGAATAACACACAAACTCACCTAAACGTGTTAAAAAATTCGTAATATTTAATTACTATTAATAAAGTAAGGGATAATGAGGATTGAATTTGTGATCACTTAGTCATAGAAACTCATACACTATATAATATAACTAATTCAACTCAATAACTTAAGCTAATAAGTAATGTCCACATTAATAGTTTTATATTAATATCTCAAACAGATTTATTGTTTGATAAAACTTTAATATCTTAGTGAAAATAATGTATATATAACACATAGTATTAACAAAACCGAAAATCTTAAATTAAGAAAAATTCAGATAAAACAATATTGTTTTCCAATAGAGTAGTGGGAACCATTGTTATTTCCTATTTCCTTTTTAATATTAAACATGAGATGATGCACCACAGTTTGTTGTACAATGTGAGATGGAGTGTGTAACATTTCGAAGTTATTAAGGTGTATGAAACTCATTTGTGACTAATTACACAACATCAATTCTAAGGTCTCGAAGTACTTTTACTAAACTACACTTTTGCTCCAAATTAGGACTTAACTAAAAAATAAAATTTTCACCTAATTTAATTTTTCAATAAACTCATTAATTTCCCTTTACAAAACATAAGTGATTGAATACCGATTAATTAAGTCTTTCCCTATATTCACTTTAAGGTATTTAAACGCGGGATTTATCATGTGTTACAATGAAAATCAGTGTTATATTACCGTATAGTGTATTATAAAATGTGTGAT